GCCAGGTGAGTCTCCGCCCCCTTTCCCCCCTCCCAAGGTGCGGGCTGAGCATCTCTGGGGAGAGGGGGTGGTGCCTGGAGGGGCGGCTTAGGGTTGGCTGGGGCTCGAGGCGTGGGGCTGGCGGTTGGTTGTGTCTGGGTGGGGGTCGCTGCTGCCCGGGAGATGGCGGTTGGGGGGCGGGGGCGGTGTCAGGGGTGAGGGGGGGAGTAGGTCTGGGTGTTGCCATGGGGGGAGGGGCTGGGGCTGGGGCGGGAGCGGGCGATAGCGGGTGGCAGGTGGAGGAAGAAGTGGTGTAATGTAAGAAACTGCTCGCTGTAGGAACGTGCTACACCTGATGTAGCTAATTCCTACAGCGAGCAGTTTCTCACACTGTCGGACTGTGCTACCCGGAGCAGGGAGAGGTAGTGAATTGTTGCCATTAGCAGTTACTGGTACGTAGGGTTGTTTTTATGTGCAGATGTGCCCTAATTTACTAAAACTTGACAGTGCTGTAGGGTGAAAGCATAAAGCGTTCAGCTTCCAAACGACCCTGCCTGGATTCATTGCAGTGGGATGTGGGACAGGTGGATAATTTAAACTCTGAATTTCGTTAGGCTTGGCCTTCAGTATACTTCTGTGCTGGTGCGATCTCCGACCGTTATAGTTCGTCACCTTGGCAGGCATGCACAGGCAGCAATGCACTTGTCTTGTTGCCTCGACTGGGAAAGGTTTCTGATCAGAGGGAGTGTAGATTCCAGGGAGCTCCTGTGGTAATAGCTCATTGGAGATGAAAGGGCTTGTTCAGAAAGACATTTTGAAGTCTGTATGGTAAAGATGAGCCAGATGGGTTTGTCTCCATGCAGCTATATTTTATTCTCTGGGGGTTGGGTAGAAAGGAGAGAGAGAAGTATTTTGGATTTCCTCTTTCCCTTACTGAGGGCCATCTATGCTCACCTGAAATTTTTCCTGGCAGAAGTAGTTGCTATCTATTTATTACAGGTCAAAATATGGCTGCCATCCCACAGAGACAGTGGTGGTGGTGGAGGTGAGAAGAGGGCAAAAAGTCCTTTCCCTCCCCCCCAAATACTCCCATGCATGTGGAAGCTATAATGTTGCGGCTGCCTGATGGCAGATGGGTAGGGGCAGAAGGCACTACCAGCTATACCAGAGGTGGGCCAACTATGGTCCGCAGGCCACATCCAGCTTGCAGGACTGTCCTGCCCGGCCCCTGAGCTCCCGGCCAGGGAGGCTAGCCCCCGGCCCTTCCCCCGCTTTCCCCCCTCCCCTGCATGCGAGGTGGCAGCACGACTTGCGCCCGCCCACCTCCCAGGCTTTCCAATAAGCCTGTCTTGCTGGTCTGAGCGGCATGGTAAGGAGGAGGTGGGGGTTGGATAAGGGGCAGGAGGTCCCAGGGGGCAGATAGGGGACAGGGGGCAGTTGGATGGGGCGGAGGTTTTGGGGGGTGGGGGGGACAGTCAGGACACAGGGAGCAGGGTCGTTGGATAGGAGATGGGATCCCGAGGGGTCAGTTAGGGTCGGGGGGTCCCGGGAGGTGGCAGTCAGGGACAAGGAGCGGGGGGGTTGGATGGGTTGGGGGGCCTGTCAGGGGGTGGGGGTGTGGATGGGGGTCGGGGCAGTCAGGGGACAGGGAGCAGGGGGGTTGGATAGGGGTTGGGGTCTCGGGGGGGGGGCGGTTAGGGGCGGTTGGTCCTGGGAGGGGGTGGTCAGGGGTCAAGGAGCAGAGGGGGTTGGGTGGGTCGGGGATTCTGAGGGGTGCAGTCAGGGGGCAGGAAGTGGGAGGGGGAAGATGGGGGTTGGGGCTAGGCTGTTGGCGGAGGCACAGCCTTCCCTACCTGGTCCTCCATACTGTTTTGCAACCCCGATGTGGCCCTCAGGCCAAAAGGTTTGCCCACCCTTGAGCTATAATGAGCACCCTAGAGAAGCCATGCACTGTGTGGTGTGTATACTGCTACATCTACTCTATACTGGTGAGGGCAACCCTCACTCCACAGTGCTCCTGGTGGCCCCGAGGCTTCCCCTCGCTTCCACCAGCACAAACACCCCTCCTACCACCACTGCTTGAAGATGTACCACCTTCTCCTCCTCCACCCCATTGTTCAAGCTTTAGAGCTATAACTGGGCCTGCAGTTGGTAAAGTGCTCATGATCTCTATAAAACATGGCGTAGAATGATTATAACTGTTGCTACTGAGGATCTCAAACTCAGACAGACCTAGTGGGGAGGCAGAGTGTTCTATTGAAAAAACAATGTGGTGGTTTCAGTGAGGTGAATAGCTTTTTAGAGGTTCAGGATTCTCCCATGAACAAATAAATGAGCCAGTGAAGCAGCCTCGCAAAATAAACAAATCTATCCTGCTATTTACATTAGGAGCATAATTGATGCTGAATACTGCAGCTGACAGAATGTGATCTAAACAAGTATCAGACAGATCTCTCTATCTTTCCCAGAGCTTTTGGCTCAGCTCTGCACATGCCCATCCCAGTCACACTCCCTATTTTCATCTGGCTTCTCTCACTCAACACAAAATGAAATACACACAAGATGACATTTGGAAAGATGAGAGTTTCAGTTGATGAACCTGCCAGGTAATAGCTGCTGCTGCTGGAAATACAGCAGGAGAGTATACCAGAGAGGCCTTTGAAGAATTTACAAGGGGAATCCAGAAAGTTTATAACTTGGGATTCTGCAGAAAAATATAGGGAAGTGAGCCAGGATTTCCACTGACTTGCTGTGTAACCTTGGGCAAGTCACATCACCTTGTGTGCCTCCAGTTTCTCCTCTCAACTTTCCCCTCCTCTGGTCCAGGGGTAGCAAAGTGTGATGGAGGAGGGTACCTCTGGCCCAATTTGGTATGAATGTGACGGGACATCAACCTGAGAGCACAGCATGAGAAAGTTCAAAGGTAGAAAACCTTTAGGGATGATTGATGCCTTGTCACAATTTGTTACCATTGTGAAATCCCCATTGTAAATGTGGACTCAACTATAGAGAGGTATTTTTCAAAATATAAAACCTTTACTATTGTAACAAGATATATAAACAAGAACATTTTAGTTTTCATTCCAACAGTTTATTTAAAAAAAAAAAAGCATCTGGACACATTTATAGATACAGTTATTAACACTTTTTTCTTTACTGAAATGTATAGTACTGTTACATTTCTCTACTTCTCATTTATATTTCAGCAGTGTTATTTGAAGAAAACCAAAATACTCCTCTTAACAAAATCATTCTACAATGTACATTTTAGTTAAATAGCTGAACTATGAACACTTGTTGCATCTGTACTCTTTCTTCCTATCAGTCAGGTTTTCTTCATTGATTCCCTCTGGAAGGAGTGCACATGTGTCCACCTCTTACAAGAGTCGCACTGCACCTTTGATAAGTAATAGATGAGAAAATTAAATCACAAAACTAACAATTGTACAGATCATTTCAACTAACTGGTAAAAGTTACAAAATAATATTGTTTCAACATATAATCACTCAAGATATGACTATCAGCAGCAGTGGAAATACTTGCTACTGTGGAATTATTACAAAAATCGTGATCCTTAGGCAGGTTATTACGTTGGGACAATATGCAACTGGCTACATCTTCGGCCATGAGCTTTGTTCTTGTACTGCACATAAAAATATTCTCCTTACTTTTCTGCTCCGATATATGGTGTGTGTTTCTCATACCATTTTGTGTTTCCTACCATCATGCCATCTTTATTTTTTTTTTTTTTTTGCAAGTCACATAACTGCAGTATAAGCAGTAGTCCTCCACACTCTCTGAAAAAATCAATAAAATGTTGTCAAATAATGGTTATATTGTGACCAAAACTGTAAATAGAAGGCTTGATTTATTCATTAGTATCAATTACACCAAAAAAATTACTGGTTTGCAAATACTTTTCCTTTTTGGGGGTGGGGTGTGGGGCTCATAGTTGAAATTTTATTTGGAGCCTCACTCTATGATTTTCCAAATTTTGGTTTACTGCTGGTGGTCTATAAAGATATCGACATAGATTTCACTGCTTGATCAATAGCAACCATTCACTCCCACCACATTTTTAATAGTACTTACAGACATTATTCATGCAGATTCACCATTAGAGAATCAAATATGTGACATATCCCATTGTAGGTGTATTAAGATAACTCTTTGTGATATGACTTTATTCCATTCTTTCAGTTATCTTCCCATATGCTATGGGCCCATTAAGTATATGTAACAAAGTTATTAGCTGACTCTTTCATTAAAAGAATTGCTATTTTTCTTCTAAATGTAGTTAGAGCCGCTTGTGTAGTTTCTATAGTACTGTAGTCTTTATACTGTAAATATGTTTCTGCAAACTAATAACACTTCTAATTGGAAAAAACATCATAATTATGTATAATTAACAATCAATATTGAACATCTGGTATTGAATACCTTTAGGATTAGTGGTCCACAGTTGTGCCCATCACTTTGTCTCTTGTGTTCCGCTATTTTGGTTCTCCAATTCCCTGACAGTTTTGCTGTTTGTTGGTAGAGGAAAGACCTGAAATTTGAAGGAAGTACAGTAGCCAACTGTATAAGAGGGTTTTGCTTTTTCTTGCAATTTCTGTACATGTTTTGTAAACCTTTCTTTCTCTGCTTGCAAGGACTGAATGATCACATGTATGCACTTGGTTTCATATAATTGTATCTGAGTCTTATGCTACATATATTACTTGCTTTGCTGTGGCCAGTGTTGCTACTAACACCTCATAACTCATGCTAAATGCTAGTATTTTGTGACCAATTTGTTAGTCTCTAAGGTGCCACAAGTACGCCTGTTCTTTTTTCAGTGAAGTAGTTAGCTGTGCTCAAATCTCACAAGTTCACTCAATGTCCATTATTAAGCACAAGTGCATGGTGTTTCCATTTCTCTTTGTCGCTATCTGGAAGATATTATCCTCATTGTAACAGTTTTTAAAAACAATTTTCACAATAACAGTACATGTGAACTGTGAAAGTAAAAATCACCTCCAATCCCTCAGGAATTCTCTTTCATATGTCATCTCATTACCCAAGGGGTCAATTATTACCAACTCTTTGGTTTCCATTAGTGTTATCTGTAAGTGAACATGCATCAACGTATGTTGTTGGAAATATGATAATTGCAACAATTTTCTAATGATTTTTCTAAACATTGCATGCAGATCTTATCATTGGTAGTGTGTTACTAATACACAAGAGAAAATCCTATTGTTAGTTCCTTGAATACAACAGTGCAGACTATATTCTTTATATTTACATTGCAAACAGAATAACACAATCTCTGCACTAGTGTTTTATTTTCTAAACTGCAGAATTTCAAGATTTACATTACAGTTCCATTTTCATTTTCCATGTATTGAAGTTATTAAAAGCCCAGTATAACAGGAAATTATGTCACTGGTACACAGCTCTATTTGAATCCTATGTAATAATATATTAAGTGCAGATAATCGCAAAGTATAACATTGGAAAGCATCTTACCACAATAACCCAGTGATTTGGAGAGTTGAAAGGAAGCACGACTATATCACTTCGCAGAATTCCACTCTGTGATCATTGCAAATATAACTGCATTTTTAATTCTTCTTTCCTGTGAAGCAAAGCAGTCAGTGTGGATTACATTGTATTTCCCAATTTCAGGACATGCTTACTATTACTCATTCCCCAACATAGCATAGTATGATGGGGTCAGGCCTGATGGCTATAGGAGAGTGGTGGAAGGCAGGTATATTAGCCCCAGGATAAAAGGGCCCCTTTTCCCTTGGTAACTGAGCAGGGGTTACTTCACCATAATTGAGACACCTGGGGTAAATCAAGGGGCTTGTCAGAACCTATTAAGAGCCTTCCCTCCAGCCAGCTAGAGGTGCGTGATAGGAGCTGTGGGAGAAAGGCGTACCACTGGAAAGGTGGGTGTGCAGACGCTGACAAGCACCAGGAGGGAAACCCCACAGGTGCAGAGGCAAAGGGCAGGGGAAACACTGCCCAACAGGGCGAACAGCCCTTCCAAACCCTGGAGGTCTGAGGGAAGAAACGCCACCAGAGGGGAGAGACTGAACTGGGTGTCTGGTCTGTCGCCACCACGTCTGGAGGTGTTACCACAGACTAAGAGCCTCCCCTCCCGCTCCCCCCGTCAAGGGGGCTGGGCGGAACCCTGCTCAGGCAAGGTGTGCACAGCAAGCCCAGGGGCATGGGGAAATTCTGAGGGAGAGAGGAATACTCCCGCCTGCTGCTAAGTGGAGGCGGGAAACCCACCGAGGAGCAGAATGAACTCTGCCATAATAGTTTTGACTGTTTCTTAAGACTGTGCTTAACTGCCTTTCTGAAAATGGGAATTGCCCATGTTGGGCACGAAAGCTTGTTAACATTTACCTTCTCCATTTTCATTTGGCTTGCTCTGCCTGACAGAATGCTAGTAGCAACTACTGAGGAGATGGCTTGCATCTGTTAACACTCCAGGAAATTGTTAATGTGGCACACAAAAAACACAATGCAATTCATTTTTTAAAAAAGGGCATGGAAAAGATCCTTATTGTTACAAAAAACATATGTAAGATAGTTGACAAATCTTACGTTTTTAAGACCGCATGTGCTCTGTTGTACTTACTTTAAGAACTGACTAAGCAGTGCATATACTTGTGTTACTATCATGGCTGCACTGATCTGTATATCAAAACTAATGTGGCTCTGTACATGTCACGGATTGTATCTCAGGTATATACCTCAAATTACTTCTGAGTACATGTTTGGCAGCAGTAAGTACAGTGAGATGCAGCAATTAGAGGTTTGTATTCACAATTCCAGGCTATGTGCAGTTAAACATGTCTTAGCACATATTCATCTGATAGTTTGATAATTGATATGTTTGCTATTTCCATGTAGCATCACAATAAGTGGCCTATCTTTCCACTTGCTTTCTCGACCACACAACACAGATACGCATCAATAACCTACAACAGATGTTGAAAGAATAGTTAACATTTGAAAACATCTGAGCAATCAATCCAATCACCTTCTGTGTTTATAGCTATTTCAACGTATGTCATCGGTCAGTCATCTTTCTAGCATCAGGTCACAAAATGCAGCGTCATACAAACTGATTTTTCTTACTTTGGCCTCCAGTCTGTCCGCAATCTTGTGCGTCATTATGAATTTTACTCGAAAAAAACAAAACCAAATGCATATTACGTGCATGGTAATGCAATTACTTTTTCCTCTGTTTGACCATCATGAAACCGTTCTTACATGAAAGCTATCGACATGCAAAGTGTTAACAAATTCTTTAAAAACAAATGTGTGGTAAGCAATACCTTTGAGAAACCATTCTTTGTCTTTATCATCCTCCATAGGCATGTCATCAGCATCACTTGGATGACTGCTTGCAACTTCTGCCACTACACACTCCTCTTCTTCTGTGTCTGTGACCTCTACCTTTATCACGTGGCTGTCGTGAGGCTTGTGAGATATATTGCCTCCCATTTCTCCTACCTCTTCTGAGGTGGCTGTTTTTACAGTGTCATCCACTACAGTTTCCATTTCCATGTTTTCCTATGATCTGTTTTCAGCAGCTAATGTTGGAGGCTCTTTAAATAGTTTTAAATGGGAAATACTGTACATGGATCCTAAAAGTTTCCCTGAGATGGTTTCTAATTTAACTAAAAAAGAAAAGGAGTACTTGTGGCACCTTAGAGACTAACCAATTTATTTGAGCATAAGCTTTCGTGAGCTACAGCGAATACAGACTAACACGGCTGTTACTCTGAAACCTGTCTAATTTAACTGTTTTGCCCTCTACAGTGGTAACTTTGTATGGTCCACGGTAGGTAGGTTGCAGCGGCCCTCCCTTTCTTGTTTTCCTTCTCGCATTCAGTAACGTGACGCTGTCCCCAACCTCAAATGTTGTTTTCCCATGTTTACAAGTCTTAGTTTTGGCATACTGTATTTGTTGCTTTTCTTGTGCTTTAGAAATATTACTAATAGCCAGTTCAATGTCAGCATCACAGCTAGATTTCATATTTATGCTGTACTCTTTTTTTGTAGTATTCCTCACTGAGTTTCTCAAAATCTGTTGGCTTTGTAAACAAATAGAAAAGGAGTTGTGTTTTGTAAAATGAACAATCACAGAATAAACACATGCACCGGAAAGTTGATGGTTCTCAAAGACACTTACGTGTAATTGTCTGAGGCTTGGCCTGGCAATGTTGCTTCAAAGCCATACAGTAGTCAAAAGGGTGACATTTTGGTTGTTATGTTTGGTTTTGATTGCAAAGAAAATAAAATGTCACCAAGAAATTTGTCCCAATGACTCCCAGTGTCATCAACCAACTTCCGCAATGCTCTGTAACAAATGGTGATGGATTATTTGTGGGGGGGAGGGGAAAGGACTGTCTTTACTGAGAGAAATTATATGCAATCCAAAGGGCAAAAAGAGGCCATCCTAGTGCATTGGTATGATTATTTTTTTCTTGAAATGCAAGACAATAGACTTGCAATTTACTAAAATTTTGAAGCAACTTGTAGCTTCTGTCATAGTGCATTCTCCTTGCTATTAATACTGTAATTTTCCCAGCCCTAAAATTACCTTTTAATGGATTTGTTTGTGTTTTCAGCCAATCCAGTGGTTTGTGGGTGCTATGGGCTGATGAAGCTACGTTGTATTCCCAATTTTTTGCCAATGTCTCGGTTATACTGAAAGAAAAAAAGTTATGCCATAAACTTTCCTTTGGACAGGTTTGGTGGCTAAAAAGAGACCAAAGAATAAAACGTTATAGCAACTCTGATGGGGTGACCAGCAGTAATCCTTGCCAAAGTTGAGTGGGAGTTCATAGAAACTTGTCGAAAAAATGCCCATAAAGAAAAACTCACAAGGGCAATGAAGCCCATGTTCACTGTCAACTATCTGTGTTCTGAAAGTATGGTTTAAGACATAGTCAAAAACAACCTCAGAAATAAGTATTTACCTCATTAATGAATTCTGACCTACAATCTGTCAGTATATGCTGTGGACATCCAAATCGCTGAATAATTTTGTACATTTTCTTTGACACCTCAGATGCTGACTTATTTCGAAGTGGAAATACTTCAACCCATCTTGTAAGATAGTTTGTGGCTGTCAGTATATACTGGTATCCCTTCTTTGTTGCTGGTAATGGTCCTATTAAATCCATTCCCACCAATTCAAAGGGCCGAATGACCTGTATGTAAGGGAACCAGTTGGAGTCATATTTTGGATTTCTCTTATTTCATATTCTCAATAAGCTCATAAGTAGTAAGCATACTGAACATTGTGATGTGGGTTACACAGCCACACTATCAGAATCTAATTTCCATTTGTAAAAACAGAATAAAAAGAAGTCAACAAAAAAGTAATATAGGAATACATATAAGAAAAATGATACAATAATAAACCTGCAGAAATACAGAAGTGCAAGGAGCAATAGAGCTCATTGTTGCACTCTGTTGTGCCACTGACATGCATTGCGTTCGCTGGGAATTAAAGGCCTCATTGTGTAGCAATGGTAAAAATGGATAATAAGCAATTACCTTTGACTCTCTATAAGATTTCTTAACGGTTTTTAAGGGAAGAGAATGAGACTTGATGTCATATATATGCAGTTCACACTAAGAACATTCCTAATGCTTTGACACTGGAAGGAAGGTAAAAGGAAATTCTGAAGAAATTTAGTAGATGTCTCAGAGTTGAAAACTCACCTTTATGCTTTTCAGGGTGATATCCAGCTTTAATTCCTTTCTCACTTTCTGGCAATGCAGACATCGCGAAACCTAGTTTAGACGGAATAATAGGATGACATTAAAATTCTTGTATGAAAATATTATTGCAAGGGAAGGGATTGTACTTTTACAGCAAAAGTATAATTACTGTTCTTTGCAATGTAAATGTAAACTTTGTCTTTAAAATATAAAGTAAATATTCCAGGATTTAGTTTTATTCCGGTACAGACCCAATCGGCAATGTCTTTTGTCATCCCAGGCCAATAATAATTTGTGTTCATGGCAATTGTCGTTTTGACTATTCCTTGATGTCTACCCTGTGAGCTGTCATGATACTGTTCAAAGAGTTGTAGGGCTTGTTTCCTGGTGTGCACAACGACAATCTTGCTTCCTTTGGCGGAATGGAAAAGTGTCCCCTCTGATAATCAGAGAAGATGGAGATATGATGACATCACCTGCTGAGCTTAAGCAATTATCAGATATTTTCAAAGTCCTAGATTCATTATAAGGCATATGCATATACAAGATAGCTGAATACAGAATGGGTCATTCTGCCTTTGGTAAGGGGTGGGTGAGTGACATTTGTGAGCTGTAGCTGACGAAAGCTTATGCTCAAATAAATTGGTTAGTCTCTAAGGTGCCACAAGTCCTCCTTTTCTTTTTACGAATACAGACTAACACGGCTGTTACTCTGAAACATTTCAATATATGACTATAAGTAGATGTTAAATAAAAATTTTAAGCTAGAAGTTGTTGTTCAATGAACATTTATGGACTGTTGTTTGTAGGATACACTGGATAACATACTTGAGAAATAAAGATACAATTTAGGCTTTTTTGGTAATGTTTGTATTTCATACTCTTGTCATATAACTGAGAAATACATTGTTACAGTGTCTACATATGTAGGTGTGACAGAGTGCTAGGTAAGAAACCCTGAGTCAGCACTCTGTTCATAGCACCTCCAATCAGGCATAGCTGATGAAGCAGCCCTGTGCCTAATTTGTGGGTGGGGCAGCAGAAAGGCTAATTAAGCCATTAGCCAGGCACAGGAAGGAAGTGGAAAGGGGGGAAAAAGGCAGTGAGAAGGAGAGAGCAATTGCTTTCCCCTTGCTTGTGAAGGCGCTAGGTATGCTGTGAAGGTGGTAGGACTAGGGTTACCAACTTTCTACTTACACAAAATCAAACACCCTTGCCCTGCCCCTCCTCTGAGGCCCCACCCCTGCTGGACCCCTTCTCCAAGGCCTGCCCCCCGCTCACTACATCACCCCTCTCTCTGTCGCTCGCTCTCTCCCACCCTCACTCACTCGCTCATTTTCATTGGGCTGGCTCAAGGGGTTGGGGTGCGGGAGGGGGTACAGGCTCTGGGCTAGGGGTGAGTTCTGGGATGAGGCCAAAAATGAGGGGTTTAGGGTGAGAGAAGGGGCTCTGGGCTGGGGCAGGGGGTGGGTTGTGTATGGGAGTGCAGGCTCTGGGGTGGAGCTGGAGATGAGGGGTTTGGGGTGCAGGAAGGTGCTCTGGGCTGGGGCCGAGAGGTTCGGTTGGCGGGAGGAGGATCAGGGCTGGGGCAGGGGGTTGGGGCGCAGGAGGGGGTGAGGGGTGCAGTCTCGGTGTGGCGCATACCTCAGGTGGCTTCCAGAAGCAGCAGCATGTCCCCTCTACGGCTCCTGTGCGAGGTGCTGCCAGACGTCTCTGCGCGCTGTCCCATCCACAGGCACCTCCCCCACAGCTCCCATTGGCCACGGTTCTGGGCCAATGGGAGTTTCGGAGCCAGTGACTGTGGAAGGGGCAGAGCAGTGCACAGAGCCGCCTGGCTGCCTAGGAACTGGAGGGGGGGACATGCCACTGCTTCCGGGAGTCATGCGGAGCCACAGAATGCAGGGAGCCTGCCTTAGCCATGCTGCGCCGCTGACTGGACTTCTACCGGCCCGGTCAGCATTGCTGACCAGAGCTGCAAGGGTCCGTTTGCGACCAGGCATTCCGGTAGAAAACTGGACAGCTGACATCTGTAGGTGGGACTCAGTTATAAATAAACTGCACAGGGTGTTGAACCAGAACAAGGATCAGTGCGTGGTTTGTATACCGAGACAGAAGTGGAACCGAGGAGGCCCTGTTGTAGTAGGCAAAGGAGATTTTCTTGGAAATGTGAAGAAAACTAATCCTAGTCCCAGTGAAGGTAAATTTAACACTTCAAGTAATCCCAGTGTTGCGAGATCAGGACCATCATGTATATGCTGAAGATTCTATTGTGTTCTGTGTATTTATTACATGAGAAAAAGAATTGCTTACCTTCCAAAGAAAAGTTGGCAGCAAATCGATGCAGGTTAAGTCTTCCTGCTTTATTCATTCCTTCTGGATGTGTCACTCCTTTTATCCTGTGCAATTTTTTCCTCAAAAGATTTCACTGAGAATTGATCACAGAAGAGAACATTACACACTGTTTCATAGCTATTGTATGAAAAACCCTTAATGAAAGTCTGAGCATTTAAAAAGAAATCTTTTATTAGTCCCTTTCCACTGCATAGTAGGTCATACAGTCTATTAGTAAAGAAACATTGAATGCACACACAATATTGAGAGTAGTGAAAAGCATTATAAATGTTATGTGAAATACATATTAATTCCTTTTGAAAGCAAGCTCATAGGCAGAAAATCTGCCATTGTGCTTTATACAGGCTTCCACTTTTGTCACTGTTATACACGTACACGGAGCAAAAAGGTATCCCCACAAAAATTACACTCAGAGCCGTGGCGCTCACGTGTCATCTCATTGCTCTCTCATTTAATTTTTGAGACATTTTCTTGAGTCTTTTTCCTCACTGTTAAATCTTAACTTGTTTTGGGTTTTTTTTTTTTCATTAGTTTTTAGCAGTGAGGAAAAGGCCTATGTCTGCAAGTGTAGACACAAGAGATATTATACACACCTGAATTATTCTTCAGTGGTTGATAATGTCAGATCCTTCTCATTCTCAGTAGGCTGAAGTGCCTGTCTTCCCAGAGCGAGGGAGAGTGAGGCCCCCTCATGTTGTCATTGTCCCCCTTTTTAAATCTCCCCCCCTACTTGCTGGAAGGTTCTTTTGCCATGACCTGTGTCAAACAGTTCCCATTGTGTAGAGCTATCTCTGAGAGGTTTCTGTTGCACACAGTTCCTTATGCTTGTGTGCATTTCTTCAGTGAGCCACTCACATTGTCTGGCCTCATCCAACATAGCACATTTGAAATACAGAGACATGGTCAATGTTCCTATCTTCAGATACAAAAATGATACATGCATACAAATTGGATAAACACATTCAGTAGGTCATAACTTTATCAATGATCTTGCATAAAGTATATCTTAGCTGTGTCATATCCATATCATAAGCATATTTTCATAAAGAATATGGAGTATAATGTCACACCCCACTTCTATGCTTGTTGCTCTGCAAATACTAAAGGATCATGCACCTTGGGATTGCAACGTTCCTGACAATAGTGGAGAGTCATCAGGCTCCATGCTTCTGTGTGAGATGGCAGGGAGTGAGGAGGGCCAGGCAGGTTTGTGGGTTTAGAAAAAAAAAGGTGCAAACATTATATATATGTTTACTTATGGGATACATATAAAATTAGGGGATGGTTAACAATGCATTATGGGAAATTGATCCCATGAGTACAGTCGCCCCTGTGCGACCTGTTTGGGCCCCAGCATACAAGGCCAAACGAAAGCTTCCCAAAATACAGTATGGTGGACTGTGATGAGTTGCACAGTGGGATATCTATTCATGGTGCACCTCACTCTGACTCTATGCAAGTACTTCTGGTGAGTACCCTCACACTGAGACAAGGAGTTCAGTAGGCATGCACACAAGTGACATAGTAACCGTAGTGAGCCTATGCTGCCGTAACTTGAGTTAACATACACTTGTAGAGTAGATATGACCTTAGGTATATGAAATGTTTGGGAGAGGTAATAGGAAAAGTATGAGGGTAGACTAAGATTCATTCATATGTTTGGGCTCCAGCTTTTGTGGAACTGGCCTTACTGCACCCTAAAGGCTCGGGAACAAAGAAGTGCATAAGAACAAAATATCATGTATTTATTAAAATGTCTTGACTTCAGGGTGTATAACTCATGCCTTCAGAATTCTTGTGGTTGTCAAAGTATCTTGGGGTTGTAGATGTGTATTCATTATATTTTGAAGGCCAAAAATATAAATGGGTTCAACAAAGAATTAGGTCAGTCCCTCAGGATAGGTGCATCAGCTATTAGTCAAGATAATCAGGGATGCAGCTCCAGGCTCTGTGGTCCCTAAACGGTTCTCTGACTGCCAGATGGGGGGAGTGGACAGTGGGATGGTTCACTCAGTGATTGCCTGTTCTGTTCATTCCCTTAGAAGCACCTGGCTCTGGCTGCTGTCAGAAGACAGGATACTGGACTACTCGGACTATTCGTCTGACCCATTATGGCAGTTCTAATGTTCAGCAAAAGTTACAATAGATT